GAAGAAGAAGAAGAAGAAGAAGAAGAAGAAGAAGAAGAAGAAGAAGAAGAAGAGTCAACAACAACAACAACAACAACAACAACAACAACAACAACAACAATGACAACATAACAACAACAACAACAACAGTCCCCCCCGCCAGGGGTATTGCACACATTCCTTCTGCACGCCTGTGCGCCTGTTGCTTATTCCCCTCCAGTTACGTGACGTTTGACCCTCTACTGGCAGGATGGTGCATTATTGTTTTCCTCGTTGATCAGAAGCATCTGCTTGCCTTTGCTACAGTAAAGTTGTGTCTTCGTATATCAAATCATCGTTCTTTTCTCTAAAATCAGAAACATTATTATGCTTGCCTGTACTGCAACAAAGTTGTGTCTTCATATACCAAATCGTTATTCCTTTCTTTAAAATCAGAAACATATGCTTGCCTGTACTGTAACTACGTCCCCATACATCAAATCGTCATTTTTTTTCAAACTTTCGTGAGAGAACTACATGCTTGCAGCTTGAAACCTATCTTTCTTAGTTTTAGTCAGAATATTACGGCAGTGAGGTCATATAAATGCGCCGAAGATTAGAGATGTTACAACAGAGAAACAAATACAAAAAAGAAAGACGGAAAAAAAGGTCGATAGGTGTGTGATAGTAGGAAAGAAAGGGCAAACCATACAAGAGCACCTACCAACGACCCACAAATCTATCTTTCTCTACTGAGTAAAATGCTAAATAAATTTTTAATTGAACGCACTGCGGCAAAACAGGATTATACGGCATGAAAGAGTTTAAAAATATAATAAATCTCTATAGATTTTTTTCTGGATTTCCTGACATTAAATTTGCTAGCTAATCCGCCGTAATGAAACATTATATCATTCATATCATGTTGGCGTTACCAGTGTTCATAGTTGACAGGAAAATAAAACCACGTCATAAAAATAGATGCTATTAGTACTCACAGTTCAGGAAAAATTACGTTAGGTTAAAACAACTCCAGGACATGGATGGCTGGTGCCTCTATAAATAAATAATTGGTGGTCAGGAAAAATCCCACCCACAAACATTACATGCCCGTTTAGTCCCCAGAACCCGCTAACACCTCAAACAGGTCTGATTCCACGTTTCAAACAAACGATTCAAAGTTCTAAAAGTAGTTTTTATGAATAGTTTGCAATCTTACACAAAGTACAATCTTCTCTTGCCTCGCTTGTCGAGAAAAGTACATTTTATAGGTCATAAGTTTGTGTCCGAGATATAAAATTTTACACTTTTGCTTTACAGAAAAGCGTAATTTGACCTTCTTTATAGAGTATGTAGGAAGACATTATGACATGATCAGCCTTTCTCAAACCGTGCCGGAATAAAGGCCACAAACAAGAACTCTCAGTGTACTTTTGGCCTGGGATTGAGTCTCCGCCTCTGTCCAGCCGTATACCATCTCCTTTAGGTTAGAATCTACGTCCCTTCTCCATGTACTGATAGACCTTCTTTTCCTACTCTTTCCTTTTCCCGTTGATGTATTTGACGCGTCATATAATATGTTATAATGTAGGGTATATAGATCTAGGCTATTGGCCTATATAATCAATAAAATCGTCCTGAAAATTTCTTTCCTTATGGATTCCATCTCAATGTATGAAGGGGAAAGATGGGTTTCCCTTTGTTTTCAACTTTCTCCGCTCATTTGTTGAGATGTAGGGCAATGAATTTTACGAATTTTCACAAGCAGCTGTTGACGAATGCCTGTAGCTTTTTAGAAGTTTGTTTCGTAAGTTTCCATGTTTCCGATCCATAAAATAGTGTACATTTGACACTGATGCTGAAAATCCCTGTCTTTGTTCTTGTTTCTGTAATTCCTATTCCCATACGTTTCTTTGAAGAGTGAATTGTCTATGGCGCTTCCTAAAATGTGAAGGAATGAACTTGCTGTAGTCTTATTTGGCTGCTGGTAATCTGATCATTGATGGTAATGTTGATCCTTTGTATCTCAATCTTGTCTGGGTGTACTTTAACCCTTGTCATCAGTGAGACGTTTACAAGATCTCTCGTTTCTCCGTGTGATAGAAGAAACTTGGATCAAGATGTGTCTATCGTGTACGCAGGATTCAATGACTAAAATAATACATTATAAATGTATATGAACTCTACAGTGAAAACGGTGTGTGTGTGTGTGTGTGTGTGTGTGTGT